CCAGCTGTAGCTCCGCAGGTGAGGAAACCGGGGCTCAGATCCATCAGCGCTCAGCATTTACCTCTCGGCATTCTCTCTGTGCAAAGCCCACGGGCACCTTGGCCAGGTCCCGGGAGGGGGATGCACAGGCAGTAGAGCCCACAGCTCCCCGCAGGGCTGTTCTGGCAGACTCCAGGACATTGGAACTAGAAAGGACATCAGCGTCCCTCCCGTCCCTCCCTGCGTGTCCCTCTGCGCCTCATGGGCAGGTCTCTGAGACACCCTCCCTCAACCACTCCGCCCAAAGGGTCAACGTTACTGCACATCAGAAAGGACATCCAGAACCAGGGTTAAGAGGTCAGTCAGCAAAGCTACCGCATGCCAGGCCCTGTGCTCCACCCGGGCCGGGTAGAGCAGCAGCCTGAGGGGCCCAGAGAGAAGCTGCTCACAGCAGGTCTTGCCCATGTCTTTTGCCTGTGCGCCCACTCCCACCCTCCACCGCCTCTCCGTGTCTCAGAACATTCCGAGGACACTGAAGGGATCTAGCGAGCCTCCACCCGCTCCCAGCTCCTTTCCCATGTCCCCCATGCCTTGAAAAATCTCCAGTGACAGTGACGCCCACCCGCCATGTCCCTCGGGATCAGCCTCCCTCCACCAGTCTAACCCACCCCTCCGGGGATCCAGTGGAATATACCCCAGCCCGTTCCCAAGGGCTCCTGTCCCGAGGGAGGGTGGGGCCGTAGCTCTCCTGGCATCTGGCAGAATCCAGTTCCTGCTGCTGCTGGGTGATGTCACCTATTGTTGAAGGGCTGTGCTTTTTATAGCTTCTGCGGCAGCTCTGGAGGGTGGCTGGCAGGCGCAGGGAAGGGCGCTCTGGGTTTCCAAGCCTCCTGCTCTCAGCACTTCTCCAGCAGCCGCAGAGGGAGAGGTTTCTGACATCTCAAGGAGGGGAGAGAGCCGTCTCAGGAGAGTGACGGAGGAGAGAGGGAGGCAGGCTCGTCTCCTGGGTGGGCCAAGTCAGCATCTTCCCTTCGCCTTCTATTTCTTTGCCCCTCCATCCAGCGGCTGCCCTCACCCACCCCATCTCATCCCACCTCCTCCCCAGAGATGATACCCCTCCCAGAAGAGCTAGGGGTGGGATGGGGCAGGATGTCAGCTCTGCTGGAAGCAGCCGGAAGCCACCCACCACCCTGCCCTCCTACACACTTGAAAATCATGCCTCTTGGAGCCGGGAGGGAGTGACACACTCCTAGCGATGGAAGGACAGTAGCCCCCAGAGGCCTCACCAGTGCACTGGGCAGCTGCAGAGAAGCGGGCAGTGTGGCTCGTGTGTGAAGCAGCCAGGCTCAGGAGGCCAGGTCTAGGTTCAAATCCTGGCTCTGCACTTTCTACATGTGTGGCCTTGGCCCAGCTCCTTTACCTTTCTGGGTATCAGTTGCCTTGCTGCAAATTGGGGACCATATTGGGCTCATCATGAGAACGAAATGAATGTAAAAGTGTTTCATGGCTACTAAGAACTCCATAAGCTGCTACTTCTTAGCCTTAGCCTTAGTGGGAACCAAAGAGTTTAAATGATTTGCACCAGTGAGGGGTGGACAGAGGGCTGGGAGCCAGACACTCAGTACATGTTCACTCTACTACATCTCACTCTGCTCAGTGAGCCCCCAACAGGCCTTGTGTCACTGGTTTCCAAAAAGGACTAAGCTGAATGCTGAGCTTCAAAATCCAGGAAAGAAATCCACCCCCACCCCCACCCTCACCCCCTGCCACAGGCCCTGCTTCCAAACCAGGATGAAAGGGGTGAATTCTCATCTATCCTGCTCACCCCCAGCCGGAGTAAGGACTAGCCCGCTCACCCGGTCAGGGGTGATTCATTGCTGAACCTGCGGATGGCCTCTGGGCTGTCTCAGGTTCTCCCAGCAATTCATTCATTCAACAGGCGTGTCTCGGGTGCCTATTATCTGTCAGACACTGTTCCTCACCCTGGAGACAGAGCAGTGATGACAGACCCCACCATGTGTGGAGGAGGTGACCACCCAGTGGGAAGCCTCGCTGGTTATCTGTGCCCCAAGGAGGGCGATTTCTAGATACTTGGGGCCAGGGAGCTGTGCCTTTTTCCTGGAATAGATGAGCAGAAGGACAGACCATGCCCTACCCAGGCTGTCAGACTCCAGCCGGGGGAGAAGGAAGGGACTAGACGAGGGCAGGGGTGCAGAAGAGAGGGACACGGTAGTTTGCCTGATTCCAGGCGTGAGTTTGAATCCCAGCTCCTCCCTTCCTAGCTGTGCAACCCCAGGCAAGTTTCCTAAACTCTCTGTGCTTCGTTTCCTTATCTGTGTAAGAATAATCATTAATTTTAAAAATAAATAAATAAATAAAAAATAGTAATTTGTAGCATGGGTCCGTCTATGTGTCCAGCTCCACATGTACATTTCATTAACCCTCTAGCAGCCGCCTCACGGGACTCGCAGCAGTAGATGCTCAGTCATGCTTCCTTCTGGGCCCTCAGGTGGCCTCTCGCACCTCCCTGGGTTGGAGGTGATTTGTTTCTCACTTTAGGAAACAGTTAAGTGGTCAGAAGATATCAGCATTAATGTAGACTGAGATGCTACCTCTTGTGTAGGTGAGTGGTGATAAACTCAGCTTCTATAGTCAACAGAATAATTGGCAAGAAATGGGGAGGTGGGAGCTGCAGGAACCTCCTGGCTCTGGGCGAGACCCTTCTCGGCGTGCTCTTCTTGCTGCAGAAGACATGAGAGTTGCTGTGATCTCGGCCCCAGGCCCCGTCTCTGTGGAGTGGTTGGAAATCCTAAGGCCGATACTGTGTGATGTAGTACAGCTAAACTGGATGCTTCCCGAGGGCGGAAACCATAATGTACAATGTTTCGCCCCACACTGTTCCAAATAGAGTGTGTGTGTGTGTGTGTGTGTGTGTGTGTGTGTGTGTGTAATTAAATACTGCCCTGGCAGGTGTGGCTTAGTTGGTTGAGCATTGTCCCATTCACAGGTGGAGGTGGGTGTCGCCGGTTGATTTCCAGTCAGGGCACATGCCAAGTTTGTGGGTTCAATCCCCTGTCAGCGTGCCTACAAAAGGCAACCAATTGATGTTTCTCTTTCACATCGATGTTTCTCTTGCTCCCTCTCCCTTGCTCTCTCTCTAAAAATCAATTTTAAAAAATGCTAAAAAATAAAAATTAAGTCCTAAGTGGTTGGAATCTAAATCTGTGTCTTCTCCCAGCTACTTAGGACCACGGTGAGCTTCAGCGCCTTCTCAGAGCTCCTCCACCACAGACACAGACAATAAGGACTCTTTGCTGTGTAACAAGCAGATCCCCTAAGTGGAACGTTCTTTCCTTTAGGAACAATGCTGTCAGAGGCACTGACAGGCCCTCACTAGACCCTGGCCCTACGTCACCTGCAACCATGACCCTCAATTTGTCAAAACCTGAGAGAGCCCCAGCCAGACACCTTCATAATCACATAATAATTTTAAAGAGGAGATGTATGCTGCATGTAAAATAGAGACAAACTTTATACCATCCAGGTACATCGAATACACAGGGGAGACAGTGCACATGAAAAATATAAAGCACGTCTAAAATTGGACGGACACAACAAAATAAATTAATTAATTAAAATAAAATTTGACCTACATGACACTTGCATATGACCCTTCATTAATATTAAGCAAGCATTGTTATGTACTATTAGGTGCTTTAGTAATCTGCTTGGTAGGGCGCATATTTTATCTTCATTTAGTCTTCATACAACTGTGATTAGAGGTATAATTATTTTTTTAAATATTTTTATTGATTTTAGAGAGGGATTGAGAGATAGAAGCGTCAATGATGAGAGAGAATCACCGATTGGCTGTCTCCTACTGGAGGGGATCGAGCCTGCAACCCAGGCACGTGCCCCTGGCCAGAATCGAACCTGAGACCCTTTAGTCTGCAGGCTGACACTGTATCCACTGAACCAAACCGGCTAGGGCTAGAGGTATAATTATTTTCACAGATGAGAAGACTGGGGCTGAGAGAGGCTAAGTAACTTGGCTGAAGTTATGTTCAGAGCCTGGATTTCAATGTAGCTTGCCAGACCCCAGGGCTCTCTCTGTAGCCAGCTGCTCCCTCCTCCTCTGTGCACAGAGACGCTAGTTTTGTAGCTTTGTTAACAGCCCTTATCAGCTGTCTTGCCTTAGCCTTGTCTGCACGTGTCTGCTGTCTCCCCCAAAGACTGTGAGCTACTTGAGACCAAGGACTGTACCCGCTGTCTAAAGGGTGACATAGGGAGGGGCTGCACATGTTTTGTTGGATGCCTGTAACTGAGATGAGCAGGGCTCTGACCCAGGGGCCTGTGAAGGGGATGGTCCCAGGCACAGCTGGCTGGCTGGAGAGAATGCTTTTCCCACTTTTCCCCTCCCCTTCCTTCCAGAAATCCAGTTTGGCAGGCTCTACTGGTTTTCCCGTGGAATTGAAGTAACCTCCCAGAGCAACTTCTGGGCAGATCCACAGTGCTCCTCCCACGCCCATCCACTCTTCCTGCAGCAAATCCCTTGAATGCTCAGGGATTGGACTTCCTTTCCAGCTACTAGGCCCACTGTGAACTTCAGCCCTCCTCTTAGCTCCGATCCCATGTGGCACCAACTGGTAGCGGTAGCAGTGGATCAGAGTTAGTCTCTTCTAGGGACACATTCAATGATGTCAACAGCACAAAAATTTGGAAGATTAACTTACACTGTCTCAATGTGCGCATGAGAAACCCGGGGCCCAGGAAGGGAGTGGCTGATACCAAATGGGGGTAAGACAAGACGCCTCTTTCCCTCTCTGGGGGGCATTTTCCATCAGGGTCCCCCGAGCCCCGCCTGGGACGCTACTCCAGCAGTTATTGGTGAAAACAGCCTTGTCTTTTCCCTTGCAGCCCTTGCCCCGCAGGATGGGGATCCAGTTCCAGGCTTAGCCTGTAGGTTACTAGGCAGAGCCGTCACCCAAACAAGCCTCAGACTCACAAGGAGTCCGAGCCCAGTTTACTTTAACCCACACACTTCTAAAGGGTACGCACACCTCAATGCATTGTCTAGACAAGGAGCATGAGCCTCAGAGAAGTTAACTGGCTTGTCCAAGCTTGTCAGTGAGATTAGAGCCTGGGTAGACCCCCACTTCACAGCTTCCCCATGCGTCTGTGCCTTAACCTGGCCTGTGACACCACCCAGGGATGCCTCAGGTACCTGGCTGCTCAGGAATTAGGCTCTGGGGAAGGGTTCATTTTTCTGACACTCCCCCAAAGCAGCGCTTCTCTGGGCCTCGGTGACCAGGTGTGACACACACAGCCTCTGGCCTCCTCTGCCCCCTGCCAGCCTGCTGCACACCAGCCAGGCTGACCTGCTGCAATCTCCCCAACTACTGTGCTGAACCCACACACACTGGTCATTTTTCTGTGTCCCCACCCTTCCCCACATCCCCAATTGGTATTTTCAAACCTGGGTTGATATCCTCTTTTTTAACCCTGCTTCTCCCGATCCTCCCACCATCACCCCCAAGACTGGATTTGAGGTTCCCCCAGCTATGCCCCCGCAGGTGCTCTACTGGGTCAGCCCCACTGTATACTGCTCAAGGGCAAGCATGGGGCAAGCTCAGCACCGTCCCATTGGCCAGCAAGGGCCCAGCTCATAAGAGGCCTGTGTGCAAGTAATGAGGCTCAACTCTGGTTCCAAGATCTTCCTCAAAGGCCAGAGGCCACTGTCCTGTCTCAGTCAACACGTGCACCCTGAATACGTGTTGTTCATGTGTGTACCCGCTTCCCTGCTGTCCTTGAGAGACAGGATGAGGCCCTGGACAGGTGGCTCAGTTGGTTGGAGCATCATCCTGTACAACAAAAGGTTACGGGTTCAATACCCAATAGGGTGCATATGTCTCTCACACTAATGTTGCTCTCTCTCTCTCTCTCTCTCTCTCTCTGCCTCTCTCTCCCTTTCTCTCTCTCTAAAAATCAATAAAAATATATACCTATGTGAAGATTTTTTTTTAAAAGAAAAAATAGAGACAGTATGAGGTATTTATAGACAGGATTTTTTGCCCCCAAGTGCCTCCACACTGACCCATAATTCTGCCGCTTAAAGTCTCATCTCACCCAGCCAGCGTGGCTCAGTGGTTGAGCATTGACCTATGAACCAGGATGTCACGGTTCGATTCCCAGTCAGGGCATGTGCCTGGATTACGGGCTCGATCTCCAGTGTGGAGCCTGCAGGAGGCAGCCAATCAATGATTCTCTCTCATCATTGATGTTTCTCTCTCTCTCTCTTTCCCTCTCCCTTCCTCTCTGAAATCAATTAAAAATAGTTATTTAAAAAAGTCTCATCCCCTTGAGTCTGAAAGCTTCTCAAGCTTCCCAAGTGCACACAAAGGAGGCCCAGTATTTCTAAGAATCAAAGAAATGCAAGTCCCAGACAGCAGTGCGGTGGCACTTTTAATCCAATGGGCAAAAATCCAACTCTGAAAATAGAGTTTTAGAGACCTCGGTAAAGAAGCAGACTCTGTTGGTGAAACTGGAAGAGCGTTGGGAACAATTTTACAGAAACTTTAATGAAACACTTCTAGGCAAGTGTCCTACAGGAATACTCACACCCATGCACAAACTTGTGTTACAGGCTGTGTTCATCAGAGAATGAATTGTAAGAGTGGAAAAAGCGGGCAGAAGCCAGGTGTTCACTATTAGAGGTTGATTAAATCCATCATGGCACAATCATACAACAGATGCCCCCTGGCCACTTACAACGATAAGGTGGATCATGTGTAGTGGTGTGGAAGGATGCCCACTATCTGCTGTTACATGAGAAAAGTTGTGGAAGTGCATGTATTAATAGTATCCATTTGGGTAAAAAAGAAAGGAACGTGTGTGTGTGTGTGTGTGTGTGTGTGTGTGTGTGTACTTCAAATATTAGTCTTCTCTCTTCAAAGGTCACCTTCCTCTAGTACTTTTGGGGACAAGAGGGATATGTCTTATTGGTAACTACTGAATTATTCACCGGGTCCCCACTCCAGCCTCCCGCCATTTCCAGATCAGACCTCACCCCAGAAGGCCTCACACAGGGCCTTTGGAGGAAGGACCATGGGCCTAAGGAGATGACAGTGAGGATGGGAAAGCATTAAACTGTCCAGAATTATAAACTTTTTCTTGAGCGTGTTTTTGAAAGAGGATGGTACACCTGAGGGTGACCCTGATCCTTGATTGGACCTGCCTTTCTCTCCCTAAGGCCCTGTGTCTGCCTGTGCAGAGCTGGGTCTTCAGGGAAACACAGTGCGAGCAATGCTCATTTCCATAGTCCGAGGGGAAAGCACCAACAACAGAAGCCTGCCAAGGGAATTCCCTTCGGGGCACCCCCAGTTCACAGCCTTGCTCCCTGTCCTTGAGACTGCCTATAAGTGACTTTCTTTCTTTCTTTTTGAAAAATATATGTTTTTATTGATTTCAGAGAGGAAAGGAGAGGGAGAGAGAGATAGAAACATCATTGATGAGAGAGAATCGTTGATCGGCTGCCTCCTGCACGGCCCACATTGGGGATCAAGCCCGCAACTTGGGCATGTGCCCTGACTGGAAATGGAACCATGACCTCCTGGTGGATAGGTCGACGCTCAACCACTGAGCTATGCCAGCCAGGCTGTAACTGGCTTTCTTTAACAGGCTTCAGAATTATAACAGGATGGCTACTATTCCATACTGATATGACATTAGATCAGTGATGGCGAGCCTATGACACGCGTGTCAGAGGTGACACGCAAACTCATTTTTTTGGTTGATTTTTCTTTGTTAAATGGCATTTAAGTATATAAAATAAATATCAAAAATATAAGTCTTTGTTTTACTATGGTTGCAAATATCAAAAAATTTCTATATGTGACACGGCACCAGAGTTAAGTTAGGGTTTTTCAAAATGCTGACACGCCGAGCTCAAAAGGTTCGCCATCACTGCATTAGATTGTTCTCATGTTGGTCATTTAGAGTGTTTCTACGTTTTCTGTATAGGTAATGTTACAATGAACATCTTCATGCATAGAGATTTTTGCTTATATTGGACTAGAGGCCCAGTGCATGAAATCCGTGCACTGAAGGGGGTGTCCCTCAGCCCAGCCTGCACCCTCTCCAATCTGGGACCCCTCTGGGGATGTCCAACTGCTGGTTTAGGCCCGATCCCTGTGGACATCCCTCTCACAATCCGGGACTGTTGGCTCCCAACCGCTTGCCTGCCTGATTGCCCCTAATTGCTTCTGCCTGCCAGCCTGATAACCCCCTAGCCACTCCCCTGCCAACCACTCCCCTGCCAGCCTAACTGCTCCCCTGCTGGCCCGGTCCCCCCCAACTGCCCTCCCCTGCCAACCATCTTGTGGCTGTGGGCACCGCCATCTTTGAGGGCAGGGCAGTCAATTAGCATATTCCCTCCTATTGGCTGTGGGCGCCGCCATCTTTGCAACGGTGTGAGTGTCATTTAGCATATTCCCTCTTTATTAGATAGGATTTTAAGAGTGAAATTACTAAGTCAGGTAATATAATAGAAATGTCTTACAGTTTCTACTAAAGATGGCCAAATTGCTTCTGAAAGATGACTGCTTTATAATACTACCAACACCAATTAAACCTACAATATAATCCGCCAACACCAGCTCTTTCTTTAAGTTGGCTATTTTAGAAGATTACAAATGGTATCTCAAAGCTGGTTTTCCTGTTTTTCTCCTTACTAGCAAGGGTGGCGTTCAGATTTTCAAAAGGGTTGTTTTAAAGGTGTCCTAAGTTGTAGTCACATGTATTCTTGCCTCTTCACCAGTCAGATCATAATAAATAGCATTAATGATGATAATAACAATTAGAACAAGGTTTACAATCCCTTAGTTCTGTAGAGAACTTTACAGCTTACCAACTTTTACAAGCAATGTCTCATTTTATTCTGCCAGTGGGCAAGGCCAGGCAAAGATTTCCTCCATCTCTAGATGAAACCGTTGAGACTCTGCAGAGCCTGTTTGGCTTGATAAACAAGCCCACCGGGGCTGGTGGAAGTAATGGGGGTGGGGTGGGTATTCAAAGATTACAGAGAAACTGTTCAGTTTCTCTCCCTCTGGGGCCTCATGGTCTCTTTTAGCTGCCTCTCCGTGAGCCCCTCCTCCTCTCTACAGATCATCTTTTTCTGCTTCTCGATCGGCATCATAAGCCTGGAAATAGCAGCTGCCTGCAGGCTCTGCCCATCCGTTCAGCTCAGGCTTCAACATCTAAGGAGAATCTTTGCCCCTTGGTTTCTCATCTCTCAGGAGACTCTGGACCTCCCACCTCCCAGACGGGTTTCCCTCTGCTCAGGTGTCCATCTTGGGTGGGGGACAGGATGAGGGACAGGCTGTATGGTACAGACAGGAGCTGGGGCTGAAGGCAGATCTCTTAGGAGGGTGTGGGAAGGGAAGCAGAGATAGGCTTTAGAATTCAATACTAGCTCAGAGCTGCTCAATGTGCGGCCCCTGCGCCTGGCCAGTCCATAACAATAACATGCCCGTGACAATAGCTGCCCAGGTCTAAAGTCTGCAGAGGCTTTTCGGAGCAGACCCTCCCAAGGGAAGAGAGGGGATGGCCTCTTTCCTCTTCAGTCACACCCTCGAAACTCCCCCCAGGCCTCAGCAGCTCTGCCCACCACGCTGGCCATGAGGCGCCTCACCACACAGGTGTCAGAAGCCTGGTGTGGGAGGGAGAGGCATCGGGCCTCTGCCCGCCCTGCCACCCAGCCTGGGCCCTCCGTTCCCTCTGCAGGTGCGGATCTGGGAGATCCCCGAGGGCGGGCTGAAGCGGAGCATGACAGAGGCCCTCCTGGAGCTGCATGGGCACAGCCGGCGTGTGGGGCTGGTCGAGTGGCACCCCACCACCAACAACATCCTGTTCAGTGCCGGCTATGACTACAAGGTGGGCAGCCCGGCAGGCAGTGTGGATGGGGAGGGAGAGAGAACGGCATGTTTGGGGGCATGTTCATCAATAGTGTCTCATCCACTCATTTATTCATTCGCCACACACTACTGAGCATCTTTCATGCACCCCGTCATTCCTGGGGTCCATAGGGGCTGGAAACACCCGTACTGCCTTCTCTGATGCTGATGGACTGGAGGCGAATGCCACTCCGTGTCCACACTCTCCTGGTGGGAAAAAAAGAGCAACCAAAGCTGCTGGAGGGGAGAGAATGGAGCCCCAGTCCCTACCCCCAGGGGTGCCCTCAAAAGAGGTGTGCCAGCCACTGGGACCTGGCAAGGACATTGATCCTTCCTGCTGGTTGTGGACACTGAGCCCAGGACAGTAGTGGGTTTGTGAGACAGGGACCCATCCGCCTTTGGTACAGATCTCAGCGACACCATCCTGCATCCCAGCACACCCCCACCCTGCGCGGGGCACCTCTCCCAGGGCCACTGGGCGTGGACCGGGGACAGATGCCCAATGACAGCAGCAGCAGGGCTGACCCCACTCCTGCATGCCTGCCCTCCCAGGTCCTCATCTGGAACCTGGACGTGGGTGAGCCCGTGAAGATGATCGACTGCCACTCGGACGTGATCCTCTGCATGTCCTTCAACACTGACGGCAGCCTGCTCGCCACCACGTGCAAGGACAAGAAGCTGCGCGTGATCGAGCCCCGCTCCGGCCGTGTTCTGCAGGTGAAGCCCCACTTTTTTGAGGGGAAGGGAAGGTATTGGGGCCTGGGGCTCAGCTTTCAGCCAGGCCTAGGGAAAGGCCGAGCCAGCTCCCCTCTCTCATGCACCTGGCCTGCACCTCTGTTGACTGTCCCGTCTGTTCTGGGCCCTTCTCAGCTCACACAGGAACCCTGCCTTGTCCTTGGTGGAAAGGGGCTTTAGTTCCCTTTCTTGGCCACTGCACCCCTCCCCCCAGATGGGATTCTTCTGGCCTGCGCTGGGGATGAGGCTGGTGACACCTTCAGCACATGAGTCCATGGGTGTTGACTGAGCCCCATCCTGGACACAGGAGGAGGGGTTTGGACTCCCAGCCCAGCCACCTGTGTGGCACTAGCCTGGTGGCAATGCCTCCGGGCACACCAGCCCTGGGGACAACTCCAAGTGCAGAGGTTGATGGTGAACTTAACTCCAGTTTTGGTTTTTGAGTCTCTTGTGTCTTGACTGTGAGGAAGGGATTAGATGCCATTTGGGGGTAAGAAATTAACATTTCTTGAGCCCCTAAAGCATGCCAGTCACCAGGAGGGATGGGAAATTTGGATTAAATTTGAGATTTACCTACTACACAGGAAAGGATGGATGGTAACCTGGTTGTGTTTATCTAGGAAGAGTCCAATATTGTGAGGCCAAAAAGCCAGCTACTACTACTAATTATCCTAGTGATTAGCATCACTAATATTAAGCAGCATTTACTCAGTGCTCACTGTGTGGCATGTAGGGCCATGGGCTTCATATCATTCCCTCACTTAGTCCTCACGAGAGTCCTCTGAGGTGGGTACTGTTCCTCTTCCCATTTCACACGTGGGGACACTGAGCTTTGGAGGGGGTCGGAGACTGGAATGTCACGTTATGGAGGAGCTGGAGTTCAAACCCAGCTGGATGGACCCAAGAGCCCATGCTGAGCAGAAAAGGTGCCAGAGAGCAGAGAACCCAGCCTCCACCTCACACCCTGGACACGAACCCAGAGAGGGTGAGGGGCTCCTCCTGGTTACACTTTTTTGGCAGAACTTGGAACTAAACGTCAGAGCAGGTGGCAGCAGCCTGGGTCTGTGCACGGCTCCGCCAGCCTCTGGTTTCTACCTGATGCTGACTCATCCTGGCAGAGGACGGTTGTGCATTAGGAGGAAAAGGAAGTGCCATGAGCTGGGAGGCAGGAGAGGAGGCAGAGGACAGTTTCGTAGGAGCCCCTGGTGTAGTGAGTCATCAAACAGCGAGCCAGCCTGAGTCCCCTGTTCTCAGGTTCCTGCCAGTAGGTTTTGCTGTGCAGGTTAAACAAGAGGCCCTGCGGAGAGCACCTGGCACCTGGCACATTGCAGGCCCTGCCCGGGGCTTGGTCAACGTTAGCGCCCCCTCCCCTGTGCTCCACCCACTGTGGGACATGGCAGAGGCCTGGTTTCCCAGTCTCGGGGCTCCCCTGCTCCTCAGGACCTGTATTTCTTCCCTGTGGCTGCTATAAATTACCACACGAGTGGCTAACACAACAGATATGGAGTCTCTCCCAGTTCTGGAGGCCAGAGTTCTGGCATCACGGTGTCAGCGGGGCCACACTCCCACTAGAGACTCCAGGGAGAATCCTTTCTTGCCTCCTCCAGCTTCTGTGGCTGCTGGGCTTCCTTGGCTTGTGGTCACATCACTGTAAGCTCTGCCTCTGAGGTCACATCACCTTCTCTGTGTCTGTGGAATCTCCCTCCACCTGTTATAGGGCTCTCATGATAGCATTTAGGACCCACGTGGATAATCCAGGGGATCCTTTATTTCAAGGCTCTTAGCTTAAAATTACATCTGCAAAGTCCCTTTTTCCAAATAAGGAAACATTCACAGGTTCCAGGGATGAAGACATGGGTGTATCTCCTGGGGGCCATGATTCTGTCTTCTACGGGACCCTGGTGTCCGGGCCCTGACTTACCGGCTCTCTCTGCCATCCCCCCCACCCCCAGGAGGCCAGCTGCAAAAACCACAGAGTGAACCGGGTGGTGTTCCTGGGGAACATGAAGCGGCTTCTCACAACCGGGGTCTCCAGGTGGAACACACGACAGATTGCCCTCTGGGACCAGGTCAGCTGCACGGAGGCCGGGTGGTGGCATAAAAGGGTTGTAGCTCTGGGGGCTTTGCTGGCGTTTGGGAAGGTGAGGTGCTCTCCTTCCTGGACACAGGCTGATGCTGGCCGCCTCCCCGCAGGAGGACCTCTCCATGCCTCTGATCGAAGAGGAAATTGATGGGCTCTCCGGCCTCCTGTTCCCCTTCTATGACGCTGACACGCACATGCTGTACCTGGCAGGAAAGGTAGTAGAAGGTGGAGAGGGACTGGGCAGCCTGTGGGAGACCCCTCCCCCCATGGGGCCCCCACTCCTTCCCGACTTCCCTAAGAAGAACCAACCTCACCTCTCTGGCCTTCCCCTGTGCCAACCTGGGTCTTTCTTACTCTTTTTCCATTGAAACCTACCCTCAAGTCTGACACTTATTCTTACTGAAGTGTCAATGTCAGAATTCCTTCGGAGGTGGATGGGAGAGGGTTTTACACTGGGATAAGGGTCAGAGCCTGAGGTGTAGAGGACTGTGACTAATGATGGAATTTGAGGCACCTTCCTGGAGATCTCTGACCAATATGGCCTTGACTGTCAGGAAAGCTGTCTATACACACAGACCCACCCCCTGCAGCAGCAGCACACCCCCAGCGGGTCCCCTGTGGCAGGCCCACCAGGGACCCAGAGGCCAGGTCTCCCTGGTCTTTGACCACGTTTGAGGCACAGTGGAGGCTCTCTTCAGCAGACCCCTGGACCAGGGCTCACTCAGCCCCCCCCCCCCACCCACACAC